ACCCGTATTCGAACCCTGGACCTTTGAGTGAGAGGCCAACACCTTAACCTCTAGGTCCCGAGAGCCCCCTAATATGATTTATATATATATATATAGATAGATAGATAGATAGATAGATAGATATATATATATATATATATGTGCGTGTGTGTGTGTTTGAGTGCGTGTGTGTGAGTGTACGTGTGTGTGTGTGTGTGTGTGTGTGTATGTGTGTGTGTGTGTGTGTGTGTGTGTTATATAATGAGAGAGAGAGAGAGAGAGAGAGAGAGAGAGAGAGAGAGGGGGGGTGAGGGAGGGAGGGGGAGAGAGAGACGGTCATCATTAAGTACCAGATCGGAAACAGACATCGATATATTGGCAATTATTGTTAGAAACTTATCTCTGCTCAGATGCTCTGAAACGCATATATTATCCTAGCCTTTCCCAACCACTGAACTGATCAAGTTGGCTTGAAGTTCTTTCGTGAAGTTCTTCTTGGTCTACCGCTGTTTCTTTTGCCATCTGTTTTTTCAATGACAGCAAGATGTTCCAATGATAATAATAATAATAATAATAATAATAATAATAATTGACTACTATTGCGAACAAAAAGTCTTTACAAATTATTCCTGAATACGAAAAGTACATTCATAATAATATCATGTCCTGAATCGCTCCTTCGCGCTCAGTTCAGAAGTCACTACGATCTCTAAAGGCCAAATCTGGAGAACAGATGAACGTGAAAGAACGAGGTCTCCGCGAGTTGTTAACCCCAGCCCACTTCTGCTCGAGTGCGGCGTTAATTTGTAGGTCACTCATCCCCATCCTAAGCAGCGCAGCCCGCCGAATTTCTCTCGTCGCTTTTAAGCCATGCAGTGTGCGTACATCAGCGCCCATCTCTCTGGCCAGTCTTAGCACAAGGTTTCATCTTTAGACCGGTACCTTTTCGTCAAAATAGCCGGTCTCACAACGTTTTATTATTAATTGAAACGCCGATATACCGTCCCTATTTGTCAAAATAGTCCTTCTCACTTTTTGTTTTTGTTTGTGTTTTTGTTTTTTAACCAGTACATATTCGTGTATGTGTATGCTATGTAGGAATGTGTTATATTAATTTCATCTAGTGCGCTGCTATCGTTATCAGTTAAACAGCTTAATGATTTTTTAATAGGAAATAAATTTGCAAAACTAAATACAATTGGGCACCTAGCTCCTAAATGAACCCATAAACCGATAACGCCAAAAGCAACCCCATTGTGAAGCGCATTACCCTCAAATCTTCCAGAGTCGGACACTTATGAAACTTAAAATTAGGCCAGCTGTAATGTGCAGTCACCAGCATTAAGGAAAAAAAACATGAATATTATGCTCTTTCAGTACAATATGTTTAAATCAAGCTGTTCTTTAACCAGTGGCGTGTGCCATCATCGATGTATATTATTATTGTTGTTATTATTATTATTATTGTTGTTATTATTATTGTTATTATTATTATAATGATATAAGTTCCGTATACAAATTTACCACCGATCATATAAATAAATATAATACAACACTCAATTAAGTTCGCAGATGACTCCGCTATTATTGGATTCATAAACCCTTATGGTGCAATTCAAAGGTTTTTTTTAAGTGAACCTCTCAAAAACAAAGGAAATTATTTAATTTTACTTTAGAAGAGAAAAACCAACAATCCCACCACTTGTAATTGAACAAGAAACAAATGAAATCACGAATTCATATAAATATTTGCCTTACAATCGACAACAAATTTGTATGGCAAAATCACGTAAACAATATCGCTAAAAGGGCAAATCAGAAGCTGTACCTTCTGGGGGAAACTTAGGCCCTTCAATTTGAATCCATCCATCCTTCACATATTCTACACCACCGCAATAGAAACGTAGATACATGTTGGTATCTCTTGCTATAGTAGTAATTTGGGAAGACAGCATATCATAAAAATAAACAAGTTACTCAGAAAGGCATCAAGAACAATTGGTTGAGACCTAAGTAACTTTGAATTTTTGCACAAAATAAACGTTCTAAAAAAAAGTCGGAAATAATGTTAAGCAACCATGCCACCCACTGACATCGGAATTTCGATTGTCGACCCGCAGTAAGGGCGGTCCCAGAGTGGCTCTGTAGGTCTGACCTGTAGCTCGCCTGGCTCGCACCGTGCAAATGAATGTATACATTATCGTGTGCTAAAGCAGCGTAGCTGAATCGTCTGTTTTTTGTCAGCAGAGCTGCACGAAGCGCCAGACGTGCTATTCAACAGTGTTGTAAAAATGGCGGACATGTGTCGCCTCGCTTCGTGTTTATTTTCGACTGAAACTCTTCACAGATCATCAAAATCAACAAGAAGTAAGTATTATTAGGTGATTTACTATTAAATATTGATGCTAGCATCAACACTTGGCCACAATATCACATAGAAATGCACTTTATCATACTTTGAAACTTCGAATCGAAAGGTTGACCTAGTTTCGACTGTTGTCGTAGGCTTAGGCCTAGATCTAGGCTAGGTGTGGTTCTCTAGATTGAGATGCAGAGGTATGTCCCTAGAAAGGCCAAGATTCTAGATAGCTCTATATGTAATAATTTACATCTGATCTAGATCTAGATCTAGCCTTTATTTGTAACCAATGTAAACTATCGCCGCGCGCAGCTGAAAGTGTGTTTGTGTGTGGGGGGGGGGGGGCGCTCTTGGCACATGACGTAAAGAACAGTTGTTCCGTCTTGGTATAATTGGTCTTGGATTACAGAGTAGCCTACCTAAATAAAGCAAGGCAGACCCGTCAGTTGCACACCTACACACGTCAACACACAGTGCGGCAGTGCTGACACACAGCGAGTGTGCCTCGCGCTCGCTGAGACACAGGCGCCAATCCACAGTGCGGCTGTGCTGACACGCACACGGCGTGCGCCAGGCCAGCTACAGGTCAGACCCACAGAGCCACTCTGGGACCAGCCTTAACGATACATTTCCAAAAAATAAGTAAGAGCAGGCAGATATAGAAATTCACTCGTACCAACTGCAGGGAAGTTACTGAACACACAGTGCTACAAATGAAACAAAGAGAGAGAGAGAGAGAGAGAGAGAGAGAGAGAGAGAGAGAGAGAGAGAGAGAGAGAGAGTGTGTGTGTGTGTGTGTGTGTGTGTGTGTGTGTGTGTGTGTGTGTGTGTGTGTGTGTGTGTGTGTGTGTGAGTGAGTGTGTTTTCCGGAACGGGTTGTTTTAGCACGTGCGAAATGTATTTACTAATGTCCTGTCAAGTTGTGCGTATGTGTGAGTACACCTAACCTTTGTAACATCTACTGCCATTACAAAAGAACAAGACAAATTTCTCCCGGCCAGACAAATAAAGATAGTCATTGTCATTGTCACTGTCATTATTATATCATTATCATCATTATTATTATTATTATTACTATTATTATTATTATTATTATTATTATCACCATCAATATTATTACTATAATTTTTATTATTATTATGTTAAATATTATTATTGTTGTTGTTGTTGTTGTTATTATTATTATTTTTATATCCTCATTATTATTATTGTTGTTGTTATAGTTATTGTTGTTCACAGACATGCGACGAAATTGCAAGTTGCATAATCGGAATTATGACAAAATTGGAACAATTGACCGTGTGCTATTAATATCGTTGTTTCTGAAACACTGTCTAAATTGCTGGCAAATCACATATTCTAATCTAAAGTGTATAAGTTGGTATCTTAGACAGACACAAACGTATGATTCTGCTTTTACCAGAAGGAGCATGGGAAAGCCAGAAGTGAGATCACTAATTGTATACTGTATATGGTCGCTTTTAAGCACAAGGGAGCTATCCCGTAAAATGCTGTTTTGAGAAAATCGAAGGTATTCAGTTTCTTTAAAAGACAAGGAGAGTTTTTTCTATAACCAAACAAATATACACACCAATGAAACCAAATTTCTCCTATAGGTAGGGCAATGGCCACTCTTGGTGTAGGTCAAGATTTCTGTAAACCCTCAAAAGCTGGGTTAGCCCGCGTGTCCTTAAAAGCGACAATGTTATGACGAAATTGATGCAACCTTGACATTTTTTTTTATTAATCTCATGGATAGTTCTGTTTCAGACTCAGTATACAAAGTTTGGGACCACGTCTAGCCAAAGGATTAGAAAGTATCTGTCAAGAAGTAGAAATGCATTTAATTTTTTGTTTGTATTCAACTTCTGTTGTTGTTGTGTCTTTTTTGTTGTTGTTGTTTTTTTGCCGCTTTTGGTCACAAGAAAAAAGGTACTTCTCCTTCAGTTGCCAGAATTGAAATAGGCCACGGCTGTCATGGTTCGCTTCTCACTTCTCTGCTCGAAGCTCTTTAAAACAACCTATATAATACCAGTCTTCTCCCTTTGCTCATCTATTTCAGTTCTCTATAAAAAGTTGGTCTATGTCTGCCTGTTTTGCCATTCTATTTGTTTCCGTTAGAGCAAATTCTTCGAGCTTATGTAGATTCCTGTTTTCTAAACGATGCATTTTACTCTCTCGTTCTGATTGTTTATATTAGACTAGAGACCGCCCAACTCTGGATTCTTTCAGGACTGCCTAATTTGAATAGTTTTACTTATATGCAATCTTCAACAGTCTCCTTATACGGCTCATTTCTATTGACTCTAGTTTATATCCACTGTCTAATGTATCTTGCGTTCACAAGTGTTTAGAAGATTTGTTCATGCATAGCCTGTTACAACCCTTAATTTTGTTGTCATTGAGATTTTTCTGCTTTTCAATTTTCAAGATTAGTTTCATTTTATTGAATGCATCTTAATCTATTGCAATTTTTAGTCATATTTATGTGGCAAAATAATATTTGCCATCAGATGTAATCATATATCTTAGATATTTAAACCTTTACCTATGGAAAAACCAATGATATTAAACACATTTTTAGAAACATCAACTGAAACCTTTTCTTATCAGCTTTTACGTATGTCATAAAACGAAAACAAAAACAGATCCATGGGCTTACCTGGCAGGTGAACAGGGAATAATATCTCAGCACACTTAATTGCTCCAACCTTGGCAAGAAATTAGCTCATACAAAATCCAGAAAACCCTATTCTGCCCTCAGATCCAGCACACAGGCACAGAGATAAGGACAGTTTATAAAACATCTGCATAATTAAAACCCTGGTATCTCGGCAGACATTCTGCTTGCAATACACCCAAATCTTAACATAACTTTGACGTATTATCGGACAACAGCAGGCACAGAGCAGATGGTTATCTTTCTGTCTTATCATAAAGTATGTAATTTTGTCGCCACTTAACATAATCATATTTTTCTTATCTAAAATTCATGTAGTTGTTTGGGATTTTTTAAATCAGAAAAAACAAAGAAGAGAGAGGGTTATAAAAGAAGAATCTCACTGAGAGCGAACACAAACAGCGGTAGTTTGTCTATAAAAACTCGATGATTGCAGCAGGATCTTATATATATATATATATATATTATATAGACTGCTGTGCCAACAGTTTTTCTAATTGAGACATTAATGTCGTTGTTGTTTTATTTTTCTGAATCTGTTTATGTCTTCATTCGTGCAGTTTTTTTTATCCTTAAATCCACATCGAGCAGTTTTTCTCTATTACCGTTTGTTTTTGTCTTTGTTTTTGTTTTGTTCTGGTTTTTGTTTTGTTTTGTTTTCTTTTTGGTTTTTAAAACTGAGATGATCCCAGACGATTGGATAAATGAAGAGTTGTTGAATCAATTCGTGTGTCTTTTCATATTGTGTGTCTTTTCATATTAATTGAATTGCACTGTCATGGTTTGCAACGAGATGATCGTTATTTGCCCGCATTTATAAATATGCAATATAGCACGCAGATAGCGAATAAGCACAAAGAGCAACACACACATAGCAAACAGATTGTCAGGTCCCAATATTTTTCTTTTACATGTATTATATTCTACTTATTTAAATCATGTTCATGGCAAAATTCGTGCAAAACGCCGATTACGTATGTGCATGCAAGGCTTATCTTAAACACTGTATACACATACAAGCACTCGGTCACACTCTCAGCTCACCAGTGAGTCCGATCCTATCGGAGATGGACTCTGAATGGGAGATCCGGTCTTTTGAATAAGCTTACCATGCTTAAAGAAGCGTTAAACCAGTGTCAAACAAATAATACAAAGAATTTATACAAGACAATTCCATAAAAAGGAATGAATGAAACTACAGGTCCGCAGAAGGAAAAAAGGGGGAGGTGAACACTTGACATGCAGCTCTAACAACAGATAAGAGACCAGCGATAAGGTGAATACAACGTTACTTCAAGAGGACAAGAAGAAAAAGGAGACAAAATGTTATGTATATGACAACGTCATAGACAAACGATTGTCTGTAAGGTCAAAGCAAAGCTGTATTATTAACACTTGTGGTACTGTCCTGTTAGACGAAGGCATGGATCACCCACCTCAGAATGTCCTGATCTGCATTCTCGGACTTGAGTTGTTTTAGGAAGAATCTTAGGCTACATTATGAAGTATCTCAGTCCTGTTGGAAACGGACATAAAAACTAATCGCGGGTCTTAAACAATTCGAGAGTGTTAAAATGATGGCAGTTCACGACATGTCGTGGGGAAAAAAAATCTATGCGCATTTTCATGACCTGTTTTTCTCTTTGGACCAATCAGTAAACAGCTTGGTCATGTCAGAGGGCATGAGGGCATAGTCTCTGCCCTCTGCTGGCCATGCTTCTCTCTGTCTCTCTCTCTCTCTCTCTCTCTCTCTCTCTCTCTCTCTCTCTCTCTCTCT